TTTTTCCACAGAAGAAGTAGTTAGAATTTGGAAAGAGAAAATGTAGGAAAGAAGAGGAAAAAGCAAATAAGAAAGGCCTGTTGTTGACTGTTTCTTAGATATTTCTTTTCCCTCTAAATATTTCAGCTTCTCTTCTCTTTCTTATTTGCTAAAGCTTATTTCCCTCTTGGTCTGCATTCACTGAATCCTGCTCACAGCACCATTTGTCAGTGGCGTTCACTATCCCGCTTCTGACACCACTTGTCAGGGCCCAGGCCAGGTCTCGGGCCTGGCTCAGGTAGGTTCTGGACATGGACCACTAAGCTACCTTGCTCAGGAACAATTTCTCTTAGGTGCCTGAGGGCTATCTACCTTAGCTGGAGAGAGAGTGTGTGTCTTAGAGAGGGTAAAGCAGTCTTCTTAGCATAAATAGATCTTAATCTTTAGTAGAGCTTGGTACTCTTCAGCAGAGAGATACCATGCTGGCATTCTGCAGGCAGGAGAGGAGACAGAGTCAGAGTAAGCAAGTCTGTGCTAGAAAGTGCACACTCCCAACCGCCTTCTCCTTCAGCCTAATAAAAGGCTGATCTCGTGCTTCTCAACACCACAGGTGTAGAGACTGCCAGTTCACCACTGCTCTCATCTCGCAAACTCTCATGCTTGTTAGGAGAGCTAAATCTCTCTCCATGCCCTTTCCACCAAGGTGTTCCATTATTGAGCTATACAGGTATTTCTTATAATTCTCACTCCTCCTAGCCATAAACTATATGGGCTGCTACAGTAAAGCAACATTGTATAGATCTCCAGGTTGGAGGTAGAAGGAGAGGATCCAGGCCCAGCAGTTGGCTCTGAGCACTTAGCACCAAGTAAATGAAATACGTCACTTAGGTTTCAGAAATATTCGTATTTAGGCACTTAACTATGAAAGCTAGGTATTTTAATGTGTTGCTCTCTCCTCTGTGAATGTTTTAAAGTAAACATCAGTATGCAAACTGGGACAAGCCAAATGGTATTCATTTATTTAGCTATCTACTGATCTAGCATTAATGCCCCCTAGAGAGCAGACCTGAAAACATTGTTCTCTGGTGTGTGTGTGTGTGTGTATATGTGTTTGTGTGTGTGTGTGTGTGTGTGTGTGTGTGCATGCACGTGCATTCAGGGCAATGTTGAAGATGAGACTTGTATGGATTCTGCCCCAAGAATGTCATTGGGGAAACAAGCAGACTCAGAGCAACAGAATAAGAGAGGAATAAGAACCACATGTGAAGACAGATGAAAAGCTGTGGGATCTAGAAGAGGAAGCCACCCTGCCAGCTGGATGGGGATGGGGAGGATAGGAACAGTTGTGGCAGGGAAGTGATGCTGACACCACAGCAGCCACCCTGTAGGTGATTGGTATGTGAATTTGGGAGAAGGGCAAGGAAAAGAGAATTAAATACAGTCTGGGCTGGTAGATCCACCCTTTTTACTATTAGCTTTTGTCATTTTAAATGGACCCTCCTAGTTTCCAATCAGGCATAATGCCCAAACATAACTTTGTAGTAGTTAATAGGATTCAAATGCAGAGAGTTTAGTATAATTCAGAGATTAAGCTCCAGGACAATGAAGTTAGATTATTTGTTAACATTCCATTGACCTCGGGGACAATGTTTAACCTAGCTGAGCAGGAGTTTCCTTATTTGGAAAATGGATATTATTGAAGTTCCCTCACTTGAATGTTGAGAAAATTAAGTGAGAAATTCCATGTAAGGCATTCAACATATGTCATTGTCATGGCGGAAGGCCATGCTGTTGGTTATAAATTAAATGCAAGCTACATATGTAATTTAAAATTTTCTGGTAGCCACATTTTAAAAATTAGAAAGAAACAAGTGACATTAATTTTAATAATATATCTTATTTAATCCATTATGCCCCAAACATTATCATTTCAATACAATAATATACAGTACAAATACATAAATATAATCAGTATTAAAAGTCAATGAGTAATTTTACATTCTTTTGATGGCATTGCCTTTGCTTTTTTTTTTTTTAAAAGAAAAACTTTATCAAAGTATAATTGATATACCCCCCAAACTGCACATGTTTTAATGTATACAATTTGATGAGTGTGGACGTATGCATACACCCGTGATATTATCACCAACAGTACTATCAGGGTACTCAACGTATTCATCACCTCCAAAAATTTTCTTGTGTTCCTTTTTTGGGTGTGATAATAATGCTTAACATGAACTCTCTGGCTTAACAGACCTTTAGGTGCACAGTGTCAGGTGTTAACTATAGCACCACATTGCACGGCTGACCCCTAGAGCTTGCTCCTCTTGTGTAACTGAAACTTTATCACTGAATAACCACTCCCCATTTCCCTGAGCCTTTGGAAGATCCGGTGTATACTACAGACACACAGCACATCCCAGTAGCCACATGGATAATACAGGTTTAAGAGCTTCCTGGAGATTATTATTGGCATAGTTAGAATAGGAATTATGTGTTGGTACAATTGAAATGTCAGCAGTTACGAATGGTGGAGAGTGGAGACAGAATTAAGTAGCATGATAATATGAAAATGAACTGCATGGTGACCACCACCTACCACAGCTGGAAAGAGGGGGTCACTTATAAGTGTTTAAGAGGGTCACTACCCAAACATTAGGTGAGGTGCTCTTATTTATTCTTAAATTTGAAAGATATGAAAAAACCCTTTAATAATCTTTCTCTAACACAGACACACCCTCACCCCTACCTCTTTTTCCTCTTTCTCTTTGCATTTGGGAAAGCAGGGGAAAGGAGAAGCTTTGCATTATCACGTTCTTTGATAGTAAAACTAAATAAACATAAAGTAAAGCTGGACAGTGTGAAGTCCAGACCATTTCAGGGTCCTTTTCTCTTCCTTCTCAAATCGTTTGACCTTAAACAAACCATGAGTGGTGCCCAGTGATGGTGGCAGAACCACTGACTATCATTATAGTGCAACTTAGAAACCATAATAAATCTGGTCACAGTGCCGGAAGTGTAGAGTCCTACCTGGTGATGTTGAACGTGCAGCAGTTGTAGGAGAAAACTGGGTTGAGATGGCAGCAGGTAGAACTGTAATAAGGAAACACTTATTAATGTTAAGTGATTGTTCACAGTGACCTGAGGGAGGGATGGTCAGCCAGAAGCTCCCTGCAATGTCTTGTGATTTCACAAGATGTAGTTTTGCTTTAGCTTCGAAGTGACCATGCATAAGTGTTAGAAATACTAGGTCATCTCTTAGCCACTGATCCTCTGTCCTATTTGGACTCAATCATATCCACCTGTTTTTCTCCTGGATTCAACATCCAAGGGCAGGTGTTTGGTGTTTTGTGGTGAGAATTATGTGCTGTGGGCTTTAATATTTGCCCCACAAATTGATCTGATGGTCCAGACCAGTGGTTCTCAACCTTCCTAATGCCATGACCCTTTAATACGGTTCCTCATGTTGTGGTGACACCCAACCTTAAAATTATTTTTGTTGATACTTCATAACTGTAGTTTTGCTACTGTTATGAATAGTACTGTAAATATCTGATATGCAGGATGTATTTAGGTGACCCCTGTGAAAGAGTTGTTCGACCCCCAAAGGGGTTGTGCCTCACAGGTTGAGAACTGCTGGTCTAGACCATAAGGACTCTCTGGCAAGTTTATTCACTTGTCCTGACTATTTTACTTCTAAGAGTGTTGCACTGGCATGAAACTTCTCCATGGCTCCACAGCCATGTGAAACAAGTTTAGACAATTATGTTTGCAAACTCATCCTAGAAAAATTGCTACCTATATCATTGCTGAATATCACTGCAGTCATCAGAGGGTCAAGGGAAGTACTTTGAAGGTATGTGGTCTTGGTACTTACTTAATGGGGTACAGTGTTCCCAAGGAAATTGCAGGAGATGGATAACCATCACTTATCTTTTTGGATTGACCTGGGTAGGTGCTCCCCTTCTTCTATCACAGTTTTCTCCTCTCTACTTGCCGTTTCCCCATATTTCAATGCATGTCCTGAATGATGTGTTTATTTTCTGTGTCCCTGAGCAGTAGTAACTACAGAATTTTATTTTGTAAATAAATGTGGTAGGCACAATATTGACTTCCCCAAAGATATCCACATCCTAATAAGTGGAACATGGGAATATGTTAAGTTATAAGGCCAAGGGGAGAATTAAGATTGCTGATGATGTTAAGGTTGGTGATCAGCTGTCTTAGGGTGGGGAGATTATCCTGCATTATCCAGGTGGGCCAATGTAATCACAAGGGTCCTTAAAAGTCAAAGTAGGACACAGAAAGAGAGTCAGAGAGAGACATTAATAAATTAGTTACTGGTTTTGAAGATAGAAGCCTGGGGCCACCAATCAAAGAATGCAGGTTGCCGCTAAAAACAGGAAAAGGCCAGGAATTGGATCCTTCATTTTTGGATCTTCCAGAATGAACACAGCCTGGCTGATAACTTTTCTTTTGGCTAAGGGAGACCCAGTTTGGATTTCTGACTTTTAGAACCACAAGATAACCAATTTGTATTGTTTAAGTCACTAAGTTATGTTCCCCATTGCACTGTACCATTACATGGAACATTACATGTCCTTAAATGATTCTTTCTTCAAAAAATTGAAACATGTCCCTTGTGAAAACTGAGAGAGTTTGGGCAAACTGAAGAGTAAAGATAATTACAAAACCTGTGTGTTAAAAATGGTTTACAGTATTTTTTATTTTATTTTATTTTTGAGACAGAGCCTCAAGCTGTCACCCTGGGTAGAGTACTGTGGCCTCACAGCTCACAGCAACCTCCAACTCCTGGGCTCAAGCGAGTCTCCTGCCTCCACCTCCCAAGTAGCTGGGACCACAGGCGCCCACCACAATGCCTGGCTACTTTTTGGTTGCAGCCAACATTGTTGTTTGGCGGGCCCTGACTGGATTCGAACCCATCACCTTAGGTGTATGTGGCAGGCGCCTTAGCCACCTGAGCTGCAGGCGCCGAGCCTTTTCTTTTCTTTTTTAATGGGAAGGGGTGCACCGTTCCTGGAAGTGCTGTAATACCAGGTCGATGTGTGGAGTGGATGGAACAAGCTCCTATTCCAACACCCTGCTCCAAAAATTCATTTAATAGATTGTCCTCAGATAGAAGATGTATCAGATATTAAACTGATAAGAACGGTACTACACTTGATCTTAGCCAAAAGGCCAAGAAGCAATACAGTATTTTTGTATTTTTTCTAAACAACAACAAAAACAGTATTGTTATTGTTCCTTCTTTAGAAGTTAGTGAACCTTTTAGAGTGACACCTGAGAATCATCTTCATTCAACTCACTTATTGAGGGGCAGAGTGTGATGAGTTAGCAGAATAACCCACAGTCACTCTCTTGTTCGCATCTCTCTGGTGTTTAGATGGGTAAACAGAAATGTCCTAGAACATAAGTTCTCTTACCTGATAATATGGTTGCTGGATTTCCATCACCTATTGGTGAAGATAAATTAAAATATTTCTTATTCAAAATTAAATTGAATAACTTTTACTTGAACTACTTTGGTTTTCAACAAATTTTCTATGTGACAGATCTAATATACAAAATGTAAAACAGCAAACTCCTGGTGAAATCTAACCCCTCAGATTTTGTGTGCACTCAGAAGTTCTGCATTTGCTGATCTGGTTGTTCTGAATACACGCTGGCTCTTCTGACTCTTTGAAATGCCCACCACACGCTGGGAGCAAGCCATTCCCCTGCAACTCAGGGCCACCTGTCCAGACAGGTCTGCAATGAGGATCAAAGAAAAGATAATCACAGCATGTCCACATCCACCTATCTTCTCAGCTCAAGCCTCTCTCATGTCTCAGTGGCACTAAGGTATTTCTTCCTGGACCTTTGGCAGACATTTCTATTAATCTTATATATATTATTAATTATTATACAGTAGAAGTTCCACAGTGGCCACCTCCCTACGTTGATCACCTCCTTAAGTTGACCTAATTTTCATAGACCAGACATGCACCACATGTATGCATCAGTACTGCAGGCCTTGTACCTTATGTTGACCTCCTCTCTCTGTTGACCAGTTTGTTATAGTCCCTTGGGTGGTCAATTTATAGAGCTTCTATTGTATATACTATTATTGAATTATATACTCTACATTGCTCATAATGTATATAATATGTTATCTTACAGCAAACGTATTAAAATGTTATAATACAATGCTATGTAGTATACTATATCATAATTATTATATCAGATTAATTATGCCATACATATTATACATATATAAAGTGAAACATATTATAACATATTATTTTGTTTATATATAGACTATTATATTATTTGTACATATAGCCTATTACAGATTTCCAGTCACTGACAGTATAATATATACACATATGTATGGATTATATATATATATACACACACACACATCTATGTGTGTATATATGTAGCAGAGTCAGAAAAATAGAAATAAAAGATTAATAACCACACAGACGAAAGAGAAAGAAAAAGTACCAACAAACTAGCAAAACCCTTAATTAATTCTTAGAACTAGTTGTTCAGCTAAGCTCTGAACTTCCTGTAATGTGAAGGCGGGAGGAAGTCATCTTGCTGTCACAGAACTCTCCTTGTCTGATACGCAGTGTCTTCCTTTGTTGGAAGGGAGTCATTGCCATTGTTGGAAGACCAGTGAGTATTTTAATACCTAATACATTGTTTCCAACAGCAATTTACAGCAGAGGCGGAATACTGTGCAAATGTCTATTGTTTGTTTTTTTTTTTTTTTATTCAGTAAGTGTTTATCTAGAACCTACAGTGTACCAGGAACTGTCCTTGGTTCTGAGACAAACAATATTGGTAGAATTCCTGCTCCCACCAAACCTACACTCTGGGGGTCAGGATGGAGGACACTTAGTGACCAGGGTAACAAGAGAAAAATACAAAAACATCTCAGATGTAAGGACCAGGAAGAGGAAAACAACAGGTTGACCCATTACTCTTGACTGAGAGGGATTCTTTCTGGACTGTATATTCAGGGAAGTGTCTCTGAGGTGGTGACATTTTAACGAGACATGATTATAAGGAATAAGCTGAGGAAACATCTGGGAAAAGAGCCTTCTAGACAGAGGGAAGAGCCTCCTACAAAGGTGGGGGCTACCTTGACAGTCTCAAAGGATGGAAAAAGACCCAGGGTGAAGAGGAGGTATTTTCTCGGTGGTCAGAGACGCAAGCAAGCACCGAGGTTGTGCAGGATCTAAAAGACCATGGTAGCTGATGCAGCGTTATTCAAAGGCCACAGTAACTGATGTAGCATTATTCAAAGGCCACAGTAACTGATGCAGAGTTATTCAAAGGCCACGGTAACTGATGCAGCATTATTCAAAGGCCACAGTAACTGATGTAGCATTATTCAAAGGCCATGGTAACTTATGCAGCATTATTCAAAGGCCACAGTAACTGATGCAGAGTTATTCAAAGGCCACGGTAACTGATGCAGCATTATTCAAAGGCCACGGTAACTGATGCAGCATTATTCAAAGGCCACAGTAACTGATGCAGAATTATTCAAAGGCCACAGTAACTGATGTAGCATTATTCAAAGGCCACAGTAACTGATGTAGCATTATTCAAAGGCCACAGTAACTGATGTAGAGTTATTCAAAAGCCACAGTAACTGATGTAGCATTATTCAAAAGCCACAGTAACTGATGCAGCATTATTCAAAGGCCACGGTAACTGATGCAGCGTTATTCAAATACTGTGGGAAGCCTTGGAGGGGTGTGAGAGAAGGTGAATGATCCGATTTACAATGTATCAGCCTGCTCTGGTCTCTGTGACTAGAGCAGACTATGTGGATATTGGGGGAAGAAAAAAGGGAGGTAGAAGACCAGTTAGAAAATGTTGCCAAATTACATTGAAAGATGATGGGCTTTGGATGACAGGAGGAACCATGGAGCTGGGAGGTGCTAACAGGGTTAGTATATGTTTTGAAAGTAGAGACAGAATTTTCTGAGGCATTTGTCATGTGACGTGAAAGAGGGGGAAGTAGGAGGGATGGTTTCAATTTCTCCTGGCCTGAGAAACTAGTTGGACTGAGAAATATGTGTATTTTGAACATCAGCTGTCCAAAAAAGCCAAGCAAAGTATCATAATATGGAACAGACTAGCAGCTGTGCTTCTTGCTAGCTGCATACCTTGGAGAAGTTGATTAATTTTCCTATGCCTCAGTTTCATCATCAGTAGAATGAGGATTACAATAGCACCTGTTTCATAAGGTTGCTGTGAAAATTAAGCGCCATGCATGCCAAGTGCATAGAATTAATTCATTCCTCAGAGCAGGTGTCAGGAAGCTAAAGGCGGTGCTTCAATGCTAGCCCAGTGCCTGCTTTTGTAAATGAAATTTTATTAGAACATAGGCATACCCATTAAGTTGTGAATTTTCTTTGGCTGCTTTAATACTGTGGCAGCAGTTTCATAAATGTAACAATCTGGCCTGAGATGCCTAAAATAGTTACTATATGTGACTCCTTACAAATAAGTTTTTGGACCCCTCAGTTAGATAATTAAATAACTAATAATCAGGCAGGTGAAGTTCTTAGGACAGTGCCCGAACATCGTAAACACTCAATACAAGCTGGCCCTTGTTACCATTCCATGTTTGTGATCTCATTTAATTTAAAGGGAGCGCTGTCAAGTAGGTGTTTTTATCTCCCTTTAAAAAAAAGAGTGTAAGTGACTTGCCCACAGCACTAAATTCAGGGCAGAGACGGAACTTAATGCTCAGAACTGCTGCTGGGTCTGCTGCCAGACCCACTGTCTTTCCCTCATCCTAAGGCTCCACTTTGGCAGGCGGCAGGCCTGTTTTGAACACGTTCCCACTGTTACCAGCTGCAGGACTCACCGATTTCCTAACACACCAGGAATTGATACACGTTACATGTACAGAATACATACTACATTCTCCCCTCCAAATGGGGCTGAGCAGTTGCAATAAAAAAACTTCTGGTTTTAAACCAAAAGTAACTAATTGCAAATTTAGTAAGTGCCTCTTACCTTGGGGCACTTGCAGTGATCCTTCAGCATTCTCTGTAGGGAGATGGATTGGAAATTTGGTGAAAGTTGGAACATGAGAGCAAATGGTGGGCAGGTCACCTCCGTCCCCCAGACACGCCAAGTCCCACCTAGTGGGACAGAATGTACATTGAACTGCCATGTGAGAGATACAGTTTACCAAGATTTTTCCTCAACATGGGGATAGGAATGATGCTTTTCACAGCAACTCCATTGGAAAAATGAAAATAGCAATACTGGATAAAAACTAAAACCCTCATGATTGAAATGAAAATAAAGCTATTAACAGTTCTCGTGGAAGAAAGAAAGAAGCCCAGCAGCATTTTAGAGTGAATGGCAGGATTGTCTTAATGACCCAGGAGTGCAGAAATGGCAAATAATGAGTGCTGAAGTGTGGCAGTCCGATCCCTCCCATCACTTATTCCATTTATTCTTTTATTATTTACCTATTACTTGCCCAGGTAGCTTCTAGAATGGAGCATGTCAGGTCAACAAAACAAAAACAAAACAAAACGCTTACCTGCTGTGGGCTTTATGTACTCAGGGTCTGTTAACATATAGGAAGAGAAAAGATCTGCTTTAGAAAAGGGCATCTGTTTCTGGAGGTGTTTAAAACAAGAAATGAATTTTAAAATGAAGAAAAAATTAAAATGCTGACTCTTTGTTAGTTCAGGCAACTTTAACCATTAAAGGTATACATGTTCATTAGCACAGCATATCAGATAACACATGTTCAGGCCAACTGTGGCCATGCTGCGTCCATTGTGCAAACTCTTTAACCCTTCCAAATAGGAGGTGGACACTCATCACACATGCAAAAGAGCAGCAGCCAGGGGCTTTATAGAGCAGACTGTTTTGGTGGAATCCTAAACCAAAACACTAAATAAATTTTAAAAAAATCAAAGGGGGAAGAAAACTCAAAAACTAAATGGAAAAAACTAACACACACACCCATCCACTATTTGAGATGCTTGAATGGAGTTAAAAAGCTAATTCATAAAAAAAAAAGAAGAAAAAGCTAATTCATTACATTAGCATCATCTGGCTATAGTCTTGCTGGGTTGAATACAATCAGAAATTTTGTTAAGTGGCCAATCTTACTGCCCTAGAAGCTGAATTATTTACTTTATTCCCCATCGGCACACAAA